TGTATCGAATTATTGATTTATTATGTACTTTATTTCCTTTTTTTATTCTTATTATATTTACGTGTCTTTTATTAAAGAATTTATTAAGAAATAAAATATTTCCAAATACTAATCATCCTATTGTCATTAGTTCTTCATTGAGAATGAATGATAATCAATATTTTCTACGAATAGTTAATACTTATTCAAGAAAATATACAAATAAAGATTATCATTTAATTCGATTATGTTTTTTTCAAGTTATTGTTTTTATTTTATTAAATTTACCAGCGGCATCATATAGTTTATATTCATATATAACACGAATGAATATCAAAACTATTAATCATTTAGCTATTGATTCATTTCTTAATGCAATTGTATCAAATCTTGCTTATACTCATTGTGCAGTAAGTCATTTATTAAATAAAATAGAATATTTTATTCTTACTTTTAGTTAACATTTTATTTATATACAATGACATCGAAAAAATTTCGAAAAGAATGTTATTTAATTTATTTTTATATTCAACGACGATTGATTAATCGATTTCAATAAAAAAAAAAAAACGTATTTTCATTTTTAAATGTTTTGTTAATTAATGTTGTATTTTTCAATCATTAAATAAAAACTTTATTCGTTCTGATATTCATTTAAAAAAATTAAAAATAAATACATTTAATTCACTCAATTAACGCGCGGGTGTGGATCTAACAATCAACACATCCACTCACATCCTTCAGAAGAAAAATGATTCCATTTTAATTTGATATGATTTTACACCAGCTTTGTTCAATCATAAATTCATACCAACTATAAATTGGGTGGATCCACAAGTATGAATATGTCTGCTAATTAGATCCGAAACATTTATAAGATCATTGAATTGGATTCTTCTACAGCGAATCAAACGTAGATATACTGGAAACAATCGGAGATGAAAGAAAATCTTTGAGTAAATCTATTTCATCACCGTGATCACCAAATAAAATAACGATATCAACGTTTTGTTTCGTTTGAGATAGACCTTCGAACATAGCAAAAAATGGTGTAAGACCAATACTACCAGCAATGAATAAAGGTTTTTCAGAAGCTTGATTAGTATCATCAAAGCATGTAAATTCATCTCTTACACCAACAAATTTACAATGGAGTGATGGTTATTGTTGATCATTTGAACGAGTATGTAATAAAGAAGATATAAAACCTTTGGGTAAATGTTTGATAGTACATGACACTTTGTTTGTAGTTTGAAATGTATTCGTATTTGGATCAAGTGGAGGAGATGAAGAGATAGTCCATTTTTTTAGCATAGTCATCATCGAATGATTGAGGATTATCATTGTTCATATGTTGATATGTTCGTTGAATTAAATATGAAAAAACAAAAATAACATATCTTCCAAGTTTAAATGAAATCTTTTCTTCCAATTCAAATGTAAATCTTGAAATATGTTTTGTTAATTTCTTGATTTCTACTAATGTTGCATGACTAGTAGGTATTTTCGAAGGTATTCCCATTTTTTCAAGTTCAATAACAAGATAACGAACAGGTGGATTATATGGAGAATATTGTTTCGAACCAAATAATTTCAAATTGAGAGCTTCTTTGATCCATATATAACCATTTAAATTAATTTAATTCTAGTACTTAAAGTAATGCGAGGCATAATACGTTCAGCTTCATTATCACAAATATTTTCAGCAATATCAGTTACATGAAGCATATCAACTGTAGTAAAACAAGTAAAGACCAGATTAACAACTCGATCAGTTTCACTATTTCCAAGAGATTGATAAAATCGATTTCCTGGATAATCTCGAATAATTATATATGTATGCCCATTCTCTTCATAAATTCGAACAAATCTAGGAAGTCCACCACGATGATTTAATCTAAGATCTGAGGCATTATCAGAAATATTACTCGTATATAGAGTAGATAAAAAGAGAGTGCTAGCTTGATGAATAATTTCTAAACATTTCTGATTTAAATAAATCCTGTCTGTTTTCCGATTATTAGCTGCTATTTGTGGGTTTCTTTTGTAATATTCAATTATTCAAATTGTAATAAGTTATATTTTGAACAATTTCATAAACTTTCATTGGTTATTAAAGACATATTAAGAGTATTGTTTACAATATTTGATGCAGCAACAAAATCCACATACTTTATTTCTTTAACGATTACTAAAATCGACACCAACTCCAGTAAAATAACGAGAAGTTTCATGAACATTATTCATTACACTGGATAAAAATGGATCACCTTCTGATAGAAGGGTGTGGGTGTACCTTTTGTCTTTAATTATATACACCCACACCCCACACCCACACCCACACCCACACCCACAACCGAGAACGACATCTTTAAGTGCATTATATTTTCATATTATGCATTTTGTGGACATGAAAGAGGTATTCGCTACACTTTCATTAGTGATTTAATCGCTTACTGTGGACGACTATTCTCTTGAAATGAAATCAATTAAAATCATTTCTTTAGTAGAAAATAGGTATAATAACAACACCGAACAATGACTCCCTCTACTAATAGAAATATAAAGAAAAATTAAGAGTAACATTGAATTGAGAGGAAGAACACTATTTTTCATAGTGGAAGAGAATTTTGTGATAGTGAGACGAACAAAGAACAATCAATAGGCGTTTCATCCTACCAGATCTTATCGTCTTGTCGTCCCACTATCTTATGATAAAATAAATAAAATTATTTTATTTCATTAGACCAAAATTCAAAAATAATTTTTAAGAAAAAAAAATTAGAAAAAGCTGTTTTTCTCTGGATATCTTATAATATTTTCTATTCAAATATAGAATAAAAGTTATTGTCGCTAATCAAATATCTTAAATTGTGGAGATTTAACTCCTTTTATTAAAAAATCAGCAATGTTTGTATGGTAGTCAGTTTCTCAAAAGCGTTTTGCGATAGAAAATAGTTATATCGATTAGAATCAAACTAAAATTGCAACAATACGAGTTGCAAAGCTAAGCTAAACAAACAAGGGATAGCATATGTGGAAAACGAAGTCTATATGTTAGTGAGCACATGGAGAAAAACTGTCTATATGATGAAAAAGTCAAGCTTCGCTGATAGATCTAAATATATATGTGTAGGAAAAAACAAGCAACTTTGCCACTGATAAATACAAAACTTCTAATCTCCAGTTATACGTAACACGTAAGTGCATTTTATTTGTAACATTAATGGACTAGTGACAGAATTAAAATTAGAAGTAGAATAGCTATAAACAAGAAAAAAAATGATGGAGCGCAAACATACAGGATTTTGATAACTATAAAGCAATTTAAAAAGGGTTTCGCTTGATCACACTCAGAATATGTAATCCAATTGTCGTAACCGTTTAAGGGAATCCATCGAGTTAAGGGAAACAGTGCAAAATGAATAGATGCTACATTGGAGTTCTAATGGCGGACCAATGAACTTCAATTTTAGTAAAATATGGAACATCCATGGTTTACGAACTCTGAATTCTATTGGTCCGTGATGAGAGTTATAGCGTGACCTCTATTCATTTTATACTGTTTCCTTTAACTTGGTGGATTCCCTTAAACCGTTACCAAACTTTTCTTATACATACATTTTAATATGAATATCAAGAGTGGAAGGCTAAAATTTTACCTTTATAAATATAAAATAGCAGCGGTGTTAGGTCCTTTTCCTCGATTTCTTTATTATTCCCCTTTCTTTTTTTTCAAAAACAAACAAGCGAATGATAAAAACAACATACGTATTCTCTCTCTCCCTCTCTTCCACCAGTCAGTTCCATCTCATGAGTATGATAGAGGGATAAAGAGGGCCTTCTTATGTCAGGAGATGTCTCTACTGACATAACAAGCGGATTCAAGAATTTTTCTTACAATTCTTTTGATAATAGAAGCCTACCAAACTCTGTTAATCGAATTTCAATGCACTGAATTAAAGTTTGACATTGAAAAAGGAAAGCAAAAATTCTTTCCGCACAAAATAAGAGAAGCGTTCTGCTAGTTCATAAAAGACTACACTTTCATTCTTCGTTTTTTTTTGAATGTGTATTTATTGTTACACTCGGAAGTGCTCACAAATAGAGGTATACAACTTTACAGCGTCTTGTTTCACAATATCATGGGTGTTATTAGCATACAATGGGATACAGTAGATCTAAAATATGCCATGCTGGGCAGATAGATTGTGATAATATATAAGTATATTGAACGACTTTTTGATATAAAATTATTTTGTTTTAACAGCAGCGAAAATATATGTAATTGACACTAAAGAAAGACTAAC